TCGGACGCAATAGTTCCACGTCAGATAAGAGTTTCCCTGGAAATGAGCGCAGGTCATGGGCCCTTCAACCTCCAACGGCCCCGCAGACACACATGATTTGTGCTGATTTGATCAAAAATGCAGTAAAAACAGTGAAATATTATTATAATCTAAAACAGCTGTTTTCTGTGTGAATCTCTGTTAAACTGTAATGTATTTCTGTGATGCGCAGCTGTATTTTCAGCATCATTACTCCAGTCTTCAGTGTCACATGATCTTCAGAAATCATTCTAATATGCTGATTTGCTGCTCAAGAAACATTTCTGATTATTATCAATGTTGAAAACAATTGTGCTGCACAATATTTTTGTTACATTATCATCTAATGGTTTGGGGAATGTAAGAAATTTATATTTTTAAATCTAACAGGAATTAATATTATGGCAAAGGTGTTTGCAAACGTTTGCTTTTGAGATGTGTTTGTGATATTTTGAATGCAGTGCTTCATTTTGCAAGAGATGCGAGGCATTTTGCATTTTGTGTGTGTGATTCTTGCATTTGTGTGTGAAGTTTTGAAAATGTGGGTAAGCAGTTGAAAAAAACTGTAACATTTAGGGTAAATATAGGAAATCAAGGCTACTTTTAAGATATTTGTGCATCATGACATTATTTTTGTGACAATTATCAGATTTTCCTCATATTTATAATGTGAAAAAATGGCTTGATTGAACAAAAAAGCATATGTAGATGCATTGAGGTTTGCAGACAGCAGCAGTAGCGCGTGAGAAAGCAGCAGGTGGATGGAGGAGTCTGTCTCTGACGCAAACATCACAGAGCAGCCGAAGCACCTGCCAACTTCCTGACCTCTGACCCCTGGACGCTACATCACACTCACACTAATATGACACACACATTTGTTTCTGGGACCCGGCACTGAAATGCTTTCAGCCTGGCGAGCGTCGCTGAGCAACACACACACACACACACACACACACATACACACACACACACACACTCACAGACACAGACACACACACATACACACACACACACTCACAGACACAGACACAGACACATACACACACACACACTCACAGACACAGACACACACACATACACACACACACACTCACAGACACAGACACACACACATACACACACACACACTCACAGACACAGACACAGACACACACACACACTCACACTCACACACACATTTACACACACATTTACACACACACTCACACTCACACACACACACACATTTACACACACACTCACACACACACACACACACA